TATTGTTAATTTAAAAAACTGCGTAAATTTTCGTAATTTTAACTACATAAATCTTCGAAGTATATTAATAATTTTTAAATTAATTTATATAAGCACAAATTGCCTTAGCTGAGGTTAAAAAGTGATGTACCAAAATGAAATATTAATGGAGAGATTTGAGATAATTGCTGCTGTTGCTACTACTACTATCCGACTTGTTACCATCATCATTATCATCATCCAACTTTTTATCAGCTTCTTCTTCAATATCAGAAATCACGAAAATTCCACTACTATCAAGTATAGTCTACAAAATGTACAATATATAATTAAATTATATAATTCATAAAAATCATATGAAAAATTTTGAATATTCTTCTTTTTTTTTTTTTTTTTTTTCTTTTTTTTTTTTAATTTGTAAAAAAATATTTGAAACTTTTCGACAACTATAAAACTTAGACATAAAATTTTTACCTTATTTTTTTCTATTCGTTCTTTTATGATTTTCTCCTCAATTGTTATTTTTTTATAACTGGGGCTTAGGAAGGCTTGGGCTACACCAATAGCAAAAGCCAACACACCTGTTTTCTGCTCCTCTTTTGAAAATACTTTCTGCAATATTCGTGAGATGAATGTGTCATCTAAATCACTTGCGACTATTGGCGAAAATATTTTTTTATATGCATCCTTTGTTTTTGTGACTTCTTCCAATCTTCAATCTCCTTGGGGATAGTATTGCTGTTGATCCTTGTTAGCAAGCTATCCCCATATATCTCAAACACTGCATCTTTTACCTTAGTGATAAAGATGCCATGTTTGGAACACATAGTCTTAAGAAGCTATAATAATAATTAAATATAATTAATATAAAAAAAAAAAATTAAAACTTATAAAAAAAAATAAAATTATTTACTAGATTATAAAAATATTTTTCATAATATGCGTCTCATTTTCCTTTATTGCTCTTAAAGCCTTTTAAAAACTGCTTATTATTTTTATCTAAATAATCTTCGACTACCACCTTAAGTTCCTGCTATATGGGGTAGACGGTCTTTTTAATTAGGGCATTTGTGACACCCTTTACAGTCATCTATTAATTTAAAATACAAATAAATTATATTCAAAATAAGTTTATAAATTAGCATAACATTATAAAGATTTGCAAAAATATTTGAACTTAATTAAACTTATTTTCACAAATGACTGTTGTTCGCCAACTACACCTGCCCCTAAACAGAAAACACCTGCACCAACTCCACCTGCCCCTAAACAGCAATTACCTCTCCTGACTACAGTTTCCGAAGTATTATAATTATTTTATATAATATTATGATAATTTTTATTTTGTAACTAATTTACTTATAAAATTTTTAGACAACTAAATCTAGTGAAGTTTTAGAAATTGCCGATGTTCAAAGTAAGGTTGTGCTAGCAACTTCAGAATTACAAAGTAAGATTGTGCTAGCTAAAAAAAATGTTCAGAAAGTTGCGGCTAAAGAACAAAGTACCCAAGAAAAAGCTGTTGTGAAAAGTTCTGACGTCTTACGTAAAACAAAAGTAATTATTATAATTTATTAATATGATAAAAATAAATTTTATAACTAACATTTTATATACAATTTTTATAGTCTTCAAGGAAATGATTAATTATGCAAGTAACATGGTAGAGCATCAGGCATAAGTTCCAAATTCATATAATAATTTTACTTTTATGTAAATTAACTTTATTAATTAATTTAATTATAATAACATAAGTCTTCGTCAAGTCAAAAAAGTCAAAAAAAAGTCAAAGTTGTTCAAAAAACTGCTGCTACAAGCACAGTTAAACTAAAAAAACCACAAAAAAAGCAGTAAGAAAACTGCTGAAAAAATGATAATGGGATAGATAAATAATAGTGTAGTGTTACATATATTTTAAAATTTTTAAAATTTTTTTGTTTTTTTTTATTTTTTTAAATATTTTTTATGAATTTTTTAAATACATTTTATAATTTACGAATGTTTTTTTATAATAAAATGAATGTGGTTATACACATGATCATCAAAAAATTCTTTATATAAACAATGATCATCATTTTTTTTTTTTGCAACTTTATTTACATTACAACAAATATATACGTTAAACTTTTTATTTGACAAATATTTTTGATAACTTTTTAAAATTTCTTATTTACTTTATTTTATACAACTTTTCAAAAATAATTTAATTGACAAAAGAGTTTGCATACTTTACAGCCAAAAAAAATTTTTTAAAGATATTTTGTTGTTTACAGTGCACCTCTGCACCAAATATAATTTATCTTTAAAAAATTAGCTATTGTTATTTTAATAGAATAAAAAATATATATATATAGTAAGGCTTTGAATATATCAAATCTGCTAATTTAAAATAATTTTATAGTAAACAAAATTGGGCATTATTATTTTAATAAAAAAGATAAACATAAAATATTTAATATTACTAGAAATTTGCTAATATGAGAAAGCTAATAAAACAATAAAGTTGATCATTATTGTTATCTCAATAGAATAGAAATTAAAAAATAAACATAAGATATTTGAATATTAAAATAGTAAAAGACATGCTTAATGCTTCTATACTCACCTGCTATTTTTTTTTTTTTTAGTTCAAATTCGGCAATCATACCACAACTTTATTAGGCTTTGTAATAGTCATTTAGACTATTAAAATTTTAGAGAGACTTATCGGTAAGTGATAAACTCTGAACATGTCGGCAGATAGCGTATGAGAACTATTTTTAAATGACATATACCGTGCTCAAGTGCTACACAACTATACCTAAATTACGAGTTGTGACTTACCCGGTTACCCCAATTGGCACCTATGTGCGACCTGCTATAGTAGGTTTCTCCTCCATCCGGCCCCTCCTGAAATCAGATATTGGCCAGCTCTCAACAGATGGTACCTACTGCCCACCATGACTACCTCTCCTTCTTTCAAGCTTTTTCCACCTAAGCTATTAACTCTTATTCATACATAAAAAAAAAAATTTAAAGCCATGTTTACGAAAGACCTAAACATCTTAGAAAAAAAAACCTCACGGTAGAAAAAAAAACAAAAAAAAAGACAAAATTCTAAAATAGTCTAACATAAATTGAACAGAGATAAAAAAATGAAAAAAGGGAAGGTAGCCATAACAGGCACCTTGGTAATAAAAATTATATAATAACTGCAACTAATTATTATATCTCGTTATAAAATATTCATCTTATTTTTAGAACTTGTTCTGCGTATCGACTCAACTCAGGTATTTTCTAAACGAGGATACTGTATCCATCCCCATACCGTAGCACCACATTTGTAAATCAACAAAACACGTGGTTGCTTTCTATTGAGTCCATCCCAATTTGGTAGGAGTAAACAATGCCGATTTTTTGAAGGGGGTAAGCCAAAATGCTCACTTTTTTCGAAAATTATAATAAAAATGACAAAAAGCGAAAGAAAGGTAAAAAAAACCAATAGGAGAGTACCAAAGAAGCGTGAGTTTTCTTTACTTTGATTAAACCCTCTACCCATGACTTGCATAGTACTCACTTTTTTTAGTAAGTGATAAACTCTGAGCTTGTCGGCAGGTAGCATATGAGAACTACCTCTAAACGACAAGTACTGTGTTGCAAAGAACAGTGAGTGATAAACTCTGAAACAAGTCGGCAGGTAGCATATGAGAACTACCTTTAAACGACAAGAGCTGTCTTGCAAGCCATTTTCACATGTCTTACGATTTAAACCTCAACATTTCATTGAAGTGCTCCGACGTCTGGTGTTTTTTCTTGTAAAAAATTTTTTGGAAGTGGTGGTCCAAATGATCGTCAGAAAGAGTTATCATTTTTTTTTTTGTTAATTAGCTGCAATATTTTATTAAATTAGCATAAAGGTAAACAAATAGTTTAATTATATAAAATTTTTTTATTTTTTAATTTTCTTTTTCAATTGTTTTTAAACTATTAGCAAAAGTTTGTCAAAAATAAAAAAACCCTCTCCGCAAAAAAAAAACCAAAATAATCATAATTAATTCTGAGGATTCAAGTAAAAGTGATTAGAAAGAAAGCTCAACTATTAATAAACTTGAATATCAAAAATGATTTTTAGCATTAAAAGAATGTGAAATGACTTTAATAGAACATAAAACAAAGGTTTATTCAACTGAGTTAGTGAATCTTGAGGAAAAGCAAGATTAAAGTCAACAAGTTAAAGCTGAGGGCTCCTATTTGGATTTCGGAAAATTTTCTGGTACAATAATCTGAATCCGAATTAGTAAAAAAATTTGATTAGTTGGAACAACTTTGTAAATCAGTTGCCATTAGTTATTGCATGTTTTTAATTAACATTATTGGTTAGCTATGTAATCATACAATTTATTTAATCGAAAAATTTTATTTTTCAAAGTTTAAGTAGTTCGAAAATGTAGATCGATTAATTACCAACTTTTCGATAAATCAATTTTTGATTCAAAGTTACAACGTATTTAAAAAAAATTGGATTTGTCAAAAAACAATTCTCGAAAAACTTGGTAAACCAGCATAATTGCATGTGGGAAAAAAGTTTGAAATAATAACGATAGTTTTCGTATCACTATAATAAAGCTATCTCGTAAAATTTTAATTTGCGAGAGTATACAATTCGCAAAATCTTAATTTTTTAAATCTTCTAAATTCTTTTTGGGATACTGTTACATATCGTTATATTTTAATTACAGTAGAATTTTCGTGAGGTCACATATAATTAAATTTTACGACTATACTATTTTATATATAATACATATTATGAGTATAGTATACAAGTTTTATATACTCAAATGCGATTTTTGTAGCATACTCCACTACTCTACTAAACTATACTCTACTATTATTCGTAATACTGGATTAAGATAAGCCTATCATGTGAATATATCAATTGTATACGAGTCATATAGAAGTTCTTAAAATGACAAATATAAATGCTTTACTAAAATTAATTGTAAAAAAATGAAAATTGATCATATTATATTAATTACTCTTTATTACAAAAGATGTTTACGAATTTTGAAAAATGCTTCCAATACATTTTGCCTTCCACTTGGTTCTGTGATATCCAGACCATTTGATGGATGCATACCTTCTGGCCATCTTTTAATTATAATTGACTCCTTCTCTGGCAATCCATAACCAAGTTCTTTCCAGTATCTGCTAGGGATTATGACCTTGTAAAATGTAAAATATGTAGAAACAACTCTGACAGCAAATATAATTTGATCCAAATTTATGTCAGTTTTAAGCATGTTTTTATTCGCACATGCAAGTATTTCTGTGGCCAATTGCGCCTCTCCATAGCCTTTTGTAGGGATAAGGTTTTTATTTTCTATATGCTTATTCTGTTAAAAGAAATTATTTGAGCCTACAAAAATAAAGGCTTAAAACCAATTAAAACACACAGACCTCTATGACAACCATAGAAATATTCTTTCTGCTAATAATGAATTCAGGTCTTGCTATCATGTAAACTTCGCTTGCAATATATAGTCTGCACCATGGATGTATTCTAAATTTAGAAATAAAATAAATTAAAAAAATTGTCATAAACAAAAGATATATCTTATAATTGCTTACCTAACTCTAAATGGATGACAATGCAAGCCAACAATTTGAAATAGTATATTAGATACTAGCATATCTGTTTCAGCTTCCTCTATACCTTCATCGGAATGTAAATTCTTAATAATTTCGTGTAGGTCAGTTAAGAATGCTTGAACCTGATCTGTTTTCTTAAAGTTTTCAACATCAAAATTTGTGTCTAAGAGTTCCTTCTCTTTAATATTTGGAAGAATATATTCTTCCAGAAAGCCGATGACTAAACAATAATCAAATTGTAAATATTAGATTTATTAAAATAATTTTTTTGCACAGTATAACTCGTACCATTAGAGTGTTCAATAAACTAATTAATCAAAACATAGTTAGGGTCATTAAGTTCGGATTTTTTAAAGGGTTATTTTACGTATAAATTTATATATGAATTTGTACTAATTTAGGTACATTTTCTACACAACTAACAGACAAAATATACTATATTTTTTTTAAAACTGTAGCTCTAGACTAGCTCTACACTGTAATAGAACTGGTTTTTTTAATAACCTATGTTAAAAATTAATCCAAAATTTTTTTAAAAGTTATTAAAAAACCAGTTCTATTATAGTGTAGAGCTAGTCTAGAACTACAGTTTAAAAAAAAATATATATACAATTTTGTTTGTTGGTTGTGTAGAAAAATGTACCTAAATTAATACAAATTCATATATAAATTTATATGTGAAATAACCCTTTAAAAAATCCGAACTTAATGATCCTAACTATGTTTTGATCAATTAGTTTATTAAATACCCTATCGTACCATCTATATTAGGAAGAACATCGCTTTTAAATGAGGTTGGTTGAAAGTTCACTTTTAATAATTTTAAATCTTTTAGATCAAAACTAGATGCTGTAGTGCTGATATTGGAAGGAAATCCTCGATCCTTAAGTTTATCTTTGGCTAACTTTTGCGAATCTACAAGGTATTTATTGAATAATATAGTAGCAGATGAAAAAAAGAAGGTTTGTCTGAAAGTACATAATACAGGCAACCTTACAACAGGACCAAGTAAAAAAGACATAAAAAACATGAAAATTTTTGATTAACATTTTAAAATCAACCTAATTTTTTTTTAATGCTAAATTTAAAAATAATGATCAGTAGCTTAGCTCTGCTTATTATTATTCTCTGAAACTTACTAATCAAACCAGAAAGATTATAGAACGCCCTATTTTATATTAAAATGAATCCAAAATAATCTGCATTTCCAAGAACTTCACTTAGGAACAAATATTTTTACTACTCATTGCTAGTACTAGTTATATTAGATCCCTAAATGCTAAAAACGGTTAGCAAAAAGAAGAATGTGACGTTACATGTAAGCTCAAACTTTAAGAATTTTGTGTATACCGTTTGACATTCTATTCCAATAATGATAGACTCATACTAATGCTTATATTTTGCGTATTTCAAATATAATAATAAACTATTAGATTAGTAAGTGTACTTTATAGTAGGTTTAGTGTTACAAATCAAAAGTTGAAAAAATCGATTTGACAACTAATCGATTGAATTTTTTAGATATCAACTAATCGATTAATCAATTAATCAACTAATCGATTAAAGAATT